ATATATACATCTCTAATAAATCTTTTAATTAAATCAAATTACTCAAAGTCTTTTTTAACATGTTTATATAATCTATATTATTACTGAATTATTAACTTTAGTATATCATAACTAAGGTATTTTCCCTAAACTTAAAGTGAATTACTGCTATAGTTGTTTTATTTATTTATCTAATTTGAAGGTTATTGAATAGTTTAACAGTAAATTATTGATTATTAATCTTATTATGTAATTACTACTAGTATTATTTTTATTAAAAAATTATAGAAGTTATATATATATATTTGATTCAATATTTATAAAAACTCATATATAATTTATTTTATTATATACAATTTTATTAGATTGTATAAAAGTATTGTTATCATTTTAGACCTATAGGTCATTAACATAGTAATAATACTCTCAGGTTATAATTATAAGATCTATAGTTCAATATTATTTAAGGATCAAAATTAAAATTATCTTCTAATTAAATTTACTAGTTATCTTATGAAAATTATATTCAATTTTTCAAAACAAGATTAAATTAGGTTAGATTGTATGAATATAGGACTTCTGACCTTTCATTGATTAGAAACTAAGATTTATATCATATTACTAAAAAAAATATATAAAGAAAGGTTTTTAATTTAACCTTATATAAATATTCCATAACTTCTTATCTTAGCAATCTTCAGAATCCTACTCTCTTAACTCAGGATATTCTAATCTGATTTTACTTAATTGAAAATCAGTTAATAAAAACTGATCTGATGTTACAAGTGATAATAAAGAAGATAATACCTTCTTCTGAGGTCTAAGTAAATAATATTTGAGAATATTGAAGAGTGTTACATATTCTATCAAGTATATATAAAAAAGAATTAGCTTAGTGAAACAATAAAAATCTTGTAAGTAAGTTCAATACAAACTAGTCTAGTCTTATTGTTGATAATTATATATTAACTATTTGACCTTTAGTTAGGTTTGATTACTTAAGAAGTAGTAGTAAGTTTATCTAAGATAAATTATGATAGGTTATTATTAATTTACGTATATATAGAAATATATAATTTATATAAAATGATTATATAATGTTGAAAATTTCATTATCCATTAATGTTAAATTAATTCTTAATAAAGAATTCATATTTAATATTAGTTGTGATTTAAAAAAAAAATAAGTATTACTATCATTCTTTTACAATTTCTGTATATTAATAAAATATTAATTTTTTATAAAATTAAACAAATCAATTTAACTTTTTTATATTTAAATAATATCTTATTATTAAAAAAAACTGCTGTTGAATTAATTACTGTATTAAAGTTTTTTACAATAATTAATTAAAGCTTTTTTTTTTGTTTTTTATAAATTTTTTTTTAAAAATGTGTTACAAATATTTATTTTTTTTTCTTTTAAAAATTAAGTAGATTTGATAAATTATTAGTTTATATTTTTTTTTATAAAAAGAAAGTTTCTATTATATAATTATTAATCTTATTAATATATGCGAGATTTTTTTATAACTTTTTTTTATTAAAATATCTATTATTGATTTTTTGTATCTATTATCAATACTATTATGAAAGAATTGAAAATTTTTTAAAATTTAAAAATAAGTTTTATTGTTTCCATTAAATACTTTATTTCATAAATATAAAAAATATTAATATTTATTTTTTGAATTTATTTCAAAGTTTTTGTTGATTTAAAATAATATTAATATTTTTAATATTATATATTTTTATAATTATTATATTGTTATAAAGTTGAATATAATTAGATCTGTGGGTCTATAGCATAGTAGTAGTGCTCCCAGATCGTAATCACAAGGTCTAGAGTTCAATACCACACAAGGGCCATATGAGAAAAATAACCAGGTTATACGAGGATGGGACTTCTGACCTTCCTGTTGATCACCAGGCTGAAAAGAATCTACCGCAAGGATTGCATGAAGAAAGACCTCTGGTCTGGTTACATGAATTATATCTGATCTAACTCCCCTAAACTAGATAGGAAACAAATTCCAGGACCTCACTTTTAGGACTGCAGTAATTATCTGAACATATCACTAATCCCAAACTGTATCAGTAGACTCTAGGATCCCACTTTTAGGACTTTGGCAATCATTTGAACATTCTCTATCCCAAACTGTATCAGCAGAATCTGGAATCTGACTACCCTAACTTGGAATATCCCAATACGGTGCTTGCTTAAATGAAAAATCTGTCGAACAGGACTTGTCTGTGATGTCACAGGTGGTAACAAAGAAGATAAAAATCCCTTCCGAAGTTCAAGTGAAAAATATCAGGGTATCTGGGTGATTAAATTAACCCTTGAGGATTTGACATTAGTGTATAAGTTAATATAGCAGTATAGTTTTTTATTAACAGAATTAGCTAACTATACTAACATCACCATTGATAACTGTTATCAACTATCAAGCCTTTAATTAGACGTATCCACCTATAAGAGGGTTTCAAGCAGATCTGCCTAAGACAAGCCACGATAGGTTATCATTAATCTGCATATATATGTATAAAATGATTGATGTAATGCTTAAGATTTAATTATCAATAAACAACTCGCATCTAATACCAATTGTGGTTTAAAAAAAAATATAAAATTAAATATAATTATTTATTCAATATAAGTTTTGATCTTTTTGAAGTTTGATAGTATTTAATTTGATTGTTGCTATAAAATTGTCTAGAAATTGAAAATAGTTAAATATTTTTTAAAAACATATAATTTAGAAATATATTTATTATTATATTTTTCTTTATTTAAAAAAAGCTTAATTTTCTTTGAAAATTATGTTTTTTTAAAGGTATATTAATTGGACTAATAAAATTATTATAATTAATTGATATCTCTTTTGTTCTTCGATCTAAAAGTTATTTATGATAATTAAAAATAATTTTAATTTTATTTATCTCTATTTGTAATATTATATATAAGTTTTAATTTAATAGATCTTTTATTTAAGTATATATTAAATTAAAATATTTCAAGTTAAAATAATTAGATTTTTGAAATTATTAATATAGTTTTTAAGATAAAATATTTGTAGTCTTAAAAATAAAAATTTTAAATCTATTAATATAATTTAAAATAAGTCTATTTAAATAAAGCTATATATAGTTAAATTAAATATTTTTTTTTATATAATTTTTATAGACAATTTTTTAAATCCTATAATTAGTAGAAAGCTAAACTATTTTTTTGCAATTTAAACTTATTAATAGATAATAATGAGTCTTTAAAGTAGTAATATATAAAAATTTATAGATTACTTATATATATTTTTTTTTAAAGACAAAAATCATTAATATTTTATTTTAGTAGTAACAAAATTCAATAAATATCATAAATAAATAATTTAGATAATGAAAAATTAATATAAGTAAAAATTTTATAGTTATTTATTTAAATTTTTAATTTTTATTAGTAAGAAATATTTGATTTTGATTTTGATTTTTTTTTTTTTGAGAATTCATATTTATTAGTAAATCTGAATTTGAAATTTCCATTTGAAGATTTAAAATTCTATCATCAGAGTTATTGATTCATAGATCGAATTTTTTTTTATTATTAAAATTTTTTATTAAATTATAATTAATTAAATTTTTAAAAGCAAGTGTTTCACACTATATAAACAATTTTATCAAGTAAATTAGCATTGCTTCAGAAATAAAAAGATTTTATATAAGAATAATAAAGAAATTTATATATTTTAATAAATTATTAATATAAATACGTAATCTTAAAATTTTTTTATTCTTTAATATTTTACATTTTATCAAACTGAATTAAAATTTAATAAGTATAAAATGAAATCCTATAGTTTAGTAAAGTTTAAATAACATATACTCTATATTATATTGTTTTAATCTTGAAAATTGAAATCAATTCACTTACCCCCCCAAAAAAAATATTGGAAAAAATTTAATCACAGTTATTTTTTTTGAACTGTAATTATAAATTCCTGAAGACATGAGAAAAATAATTGGTTTGAATATAATTATTTATTGATAAAATATTAATTTGGAAATCGTTCTAATAATAAATAAATATTATTATTTTCAAAATGATTTCTGAGTTATCATGTTATCAAAAATAAACGAAAGTTGAAATACATAAATAAATAATTGGATTCATATTATTCATTTAAACAAACATTTGTTTAAAAGATTTTAACTAGAAAGGACTGCGAGTCTATAACATTCCGGCCGACCAATCAATTTTACGGTCAAAGTGTGGTACTCGCGTCATAACAACATCGGGCGTTATCATAACGTCGTCCTTTCAGGTGATGCGTTCTTCTTGTTACACCTTTCGACAGTTTTCATGTAATAATTATGACATATATTCAAAACCCGTTGTAATCATTGTTGATAAAGATGGTAATTGAAAATTAAAGAGTGGCTCGTATCACGTTCGCAATGCTTTTTGGCAAATCAATGTACACTTATAATGATTATATACCGTATATAGGCAAAATCTTTTTAGATCAATGCATATACTGTAAGTGATAGTGAAATTTAGGAGCTCTTTAAAAGTTTTTATGTATTCATACAACAAATAAAATAATATCAAAGTTTATCATAGTTCGATCATATTCCAATGCATGTTGACATAATTTCACCAACACGTGATTTTCTGCCGCAGCAAATGCATAGTGGATTGCCGTAGGCGTTTGCTGTTACACACCTTTTAATCGGGTCATCTTTCTCCCGAAGTCTTCCAATGAAGATGAAAATACAAAGTACGCAAATAGATCGACTGGTGACGTTTTGTGAGGTGTGATTTCTTTTAAAAATTTAATAACTGATAAGGCAATTGGACTACCGTGATTAGGAACTATTTACTGCAATTCCCTGCACATCCAAAAAAAAGGTATATATCTGCGATCAAAGATTTTTATATAGTAATCACTATATAATAAAGTAGGAGTAGAGTTACAAGAATTTCCTTTAATAAAAACATTGTGCGGCGACTCTGAATTTTAAAAATGAGTTCGCTGTGTTTACTGTTTACCCTGTTAAATGTGATTTTTTGCATTCTGACATTATCGGTTAATGGACAAAGTGCTAATGACTCTACGACAAATGAATCCTACTTCATAATTGGATATACAGTTCCTTTTCAATGTAATCTAATCAATGTCGTAAATCCTCCTCCGATGGATTCACCTTTAAGGGTATGTGAACTCACCACTTTTCTTAACGGAAAACACGAGAATTGCTAATTCATCCAGATATGATTCTAGGGTCGCATACGTGTTTGGCCGGAGGAGTATTCGAAACTTGATAATGCTTCGTGGATAGCCTATGTTAATTGCGATGTACCCCAAAGTACCATGAGTTACATTTATTCGGCACAAGGAAATCATTCAAGTGCTATAGTCTTATATTCGAATTCCAACGATTCATGTGATACCTCGTCAATAAATATAAGATATATGTCCGCACCACTATTTTTGGGAACAAATAAAACATGTCAAGATAGCATCCTTACAAATGAATCCCTTGGACTGTTTGCATTTATAGAGTTCGTCGTCGACAACAATAACAGTAGCTATCCGAACAACTCAACCGATATCAATGGAAGCACAGTGATAGCGGCCACTTATCAAACTGCTATGGTCATATTATATTCTGTATCCGGGATCGTGCTGGGTTTGTTTTTCATAATAGTTGTTGTGAACATCATAAAAAATAGGCTTCGTCCTTCATCACAGTCAGCTGGCGAAGGCAACAGCAATTCCGGAAATGGGATTGCCAAATCGGTGTTGGATAGTTTTCCGGTTTACCTGTTCTCTCTGGGCAACAATGGTGGTGATAAAACCTCCGAGGATGCCAAAACAGGAGATGCCTCTGATGAACCGGTGTTGGAATCGTTGAAAGTTATTGATGAGAAAACATTGGAATCGACGGAAGAAATCAAATTGTCAGATCAAACTCCTTCAGAGAATAAAGAAGAGGAGGTTGACGTCACCATAGATGGGTCTGCAGATGATGCTGTCGATGTCTCTAATAATCATCAGACGAAGGATTCTCAGTTGAATCGAACGACACTTCTTCCTTCGGCAATCTCATCAGTTTTCAATAAGGTCACGGACGAACAACTAACCTGTCCAATCTGTTTGGGTGATTTCGAGTCTGGTGAAGAGTTAAGAATCCTTCCGTGTCATCACCAATATCACACGTAAGCGGTCTTTCTTTTTTAATCCTTAAAAATCCCCTTGTTTAATCTAATTCGATATTGTCGTTTCTCTTAGTGTATGCATCGATCCATGGCTCCTAAACACCTCTCCACTATGTCCAATGTGTAAAACAGATTATACATCTTGGGATAAAGAATTACCATCCTCGCATCAAGAAGAAGGGTCAATCTCCTCATCTTTATATTCTGGTGGAATCGCCAGTGATGAGCAGCCACAAACTCGAATCAATAATAGTAATGATTCATCACATGTTTTTCCACATTTCCGATGGATAAGATACTTGGCAGCCATACGAAGGGCAGGGAGGCGTAGACATAGTAGACGTGCGCAATTAAGACATTCAGATGTTGGAGGTGAAGGAATGTCAGGGCGACAGCGGCCACAAGAAAATGACAATACTACCGATGACGATGCAGCCAGGGTGACGACGGAACAAGGCGGAAGGCATGGTTTATTCCGTGCTAGCATTTAACATCATAGACATTTGTTCCTTTATCCGTGGAAGATTTATTGAATTATTACCATGAACCTCTTATTTTGGTTAAGGTGGAACTGAGATGTGAAAATTTTTTGGAAGTGGTATCAAAGACAAAATACGATGTAATTATAATAGGCTAATCAAAAAAGAAAAAAAAAAAAAATTTTTTTTTTATTATTGTCGTCTTTTCGAAATGTAATATAATGAATTTAAGAGAAGTATCTGTAAATCGCTTTATAAATAAGCCCATTGCTGGGCAAGTCCATATTTTAGATGAAAAGATAGTGTGAGAGTTGCATTGCATGGTAAACATTCGTGTTAGTGACTCACGAAGAAACGGAAATAGATGTCGAAGCATAATTCGATAATTATTTTCGAAGGAGAACAGAGGATTTTTCTGATCTCAAACAGTAATTGTACTCTGTAGTATATGTATTATTCAAAGAATGGGGACCAAAAAAATCGGTTATAAGATATTTGTCGTTTTCAAAAATAATTATTCAATTATGAAGAACGTTTATGTAACGTAAGTACGAAAATTCCAGTAATTTAAAGGATCAATTTTATTATTCCCAAGATTTTGCCGAGAGACTATGTCAAAGCTTTCTTATTATTGTCATAGCTCAATTTGTACATGTGAATATAAGTTTTCGCGTTTCTTGGCGCATGATCACGTTTTGTTATGAACCTTCCCTGAGACATGTTATTTATTAACCCGAAAGAAAATACAGAAAGGATATTTTAGGGTAAGTGGACAAATGAATAAATATCGGAATGGAGGTGAAATGTTTGTAGGTTAGAGTATAATTCTCTTACAAAAGATTAATGTACTAAAAAAAAAAAAGGAGAAGAGTAATTAGATATTTCTAATATTGTAAAATATTATTTGTGAACTTGTTTTTAAATTCACCGTTGGAACATTAATTATTCATTTAGTGAAACGTCAACATTACGGCCGTCTTCTCTTGTTCGCTATTCGCCTCCTCTTTGGGAAATTTACAATTCGATCCCAAGTGTATCAAACACCATCTTCTTTCTCTTATCCAAATCTTCGGTGTTTCTCGTGGCTGCCTGTGCATTCTCGTTCAATTTGTTTCTGATGTTTTGTATCTGCTGTTGTTGTCTAAATTGTTCCCCGTCCAATAGAGATTTTTGTTTAACACTCGATTTCTTCTCATTGTCGACACATTTCTGATACACTAATTCTCGTTCTACGTTTGCACCAAAGTTTTCCTTCTGACGGTCGCCGTTGAGATCGGATGATTCCGTTGGCACTTGTCTAGAGAGTAACATTCTGGTTTTACGAAGGAGATGCAACGTCTTTATGCATTTAACCATGTCGGGTTCTGATTTCGGGATATGATGAAAGAAATATGAACACAATATTTCGTTGAAATTTCTTTATCACACAAGAATGAATTCTTTTGGACATTTACCAATGTTGGCGTCGCTCCTCTTTTCTGGATCCATCACAACCGGTGGTGGAAACAGTAACTTGGCGCTCATTATAATTTCTGCAACATATTTGTCACCGCCAACTAAAAATCAAAAAATGGTTTCGCATGAGTATCACGTTCTAGAAAGTATTCGAAGTGGAATAGACCAGATAATTACACATCGCATCGGACACTGCCTTCTCACTTTCTTCCAGCGGAAATTCCTGACCATCTGACAGATGTTTTCTTATCCGGCTTTGCAATTCTTGTTCGGCTTTCTGTTGCGTCGTCAAAAAGAAGGTATTTAGGATACAAGGATGACCGAAGGAACAAAATTTTTTATCATGTGCATACACTCATCATCTCAATTTGATCTCTCGTCAAACACTCTCCGGTCCCATTGTAATAGAGTAATTCCAATAAAACCTCGGTGGCCATCTATAATAACAGAATCCAAATGGAGTATCGATATCCACTTTGATAGGTACCAAATTGATTAAACGGATTCCACATACCTGAAGTGTCATCGGTCGGCAGAGATGATAATATTCGCACAATAACGTTAAAATCGTTTTAATCAACTCTCCTCGGTAGTTTCGTGTATGCTGAGATCCGTAATTACCATTATCATCCGATATCTTTATGGTGGGTACGGGAAGAGATCCATACTGCGATTCGCCATCTTCACCAACAAAAAACCCGCGTGCGGATTTGTAGCTTGAACTAGGAAGCTGCGGATCAACAACGTCCGGAAATATGGGTTTTGCTTGTGACGGTATCGATGCTATCGACTCGGTGTCAAGTGAATGTCGCTCGTCGAATGAAGGCGGTGAGTCGTCCTCCGAATCACTTACTAATGTACCCTGGAAAAAAAAAAAAAAAAAAAGGAGAGAAACAATTGGTTATCATAAATTGTAGCGTCAATTCGAGGATCATTTAATGAACGAAGCATCTTTGCAAGTACCATCACTCGACGCGTCTTCAACAATTTCTGTGGGTATACATCCGTGGCAATTAGAACATCAGGTGCTATTGCATTATTTCGACACGACATGTACAGTAAACATAGAGCGGGAAGAATATTTAAATCGTAGTAGTCAGAATCATCAGGTCTTTTCGGGACCAGGAACCTCATGACTGCCTCTCTGTACAGATTTCTGTGTAATAACGACATGTGGCAAGAGAATTGTGAACTTCAAGTTGCAATGAAAATTCCAAAGAATTACTTTTGCTACCTTCTAAACCAGGAATTGGAATATTCAAGTCGCGTAGGTGGGGAATTAGAGTAATCCATCATGCCCGGAGAGTTCGAGAATAACATTGCGACCACCGATGTGACCAGTGGAGTATGGCGAAAGATATGTAATACGTGACAAAGAAGGGCAAGGGCAACCACTGAGTTAATTCTCACTTTCTGTTTTTTCAAGGAAGCGAATTGATTAGGAAGGAAAAAGAGGTGAAGATGAAAAGATCAAACGTATTAATAACCTGTTTTGAAGGAAGTAACTCTTCTTTAACCAGACTGTCCGCGTAAATCGGTTGCACCAATAAATCCATTAAATGCGCGGTCAGCGTATTATTCATTTTTTCAATGTCAAGGTTGATGATATCATTTATGTAGTAGAAATTATCGCAATGTTCGGCCATATAATAATTAAATCGAGAATATTGTTTGTAATACCTAGATTTGAATAATTTTTGATGTCGACGACTTAGAAAGCGAACCACGACATATAAAAAAAAACTTGGTGCCATCGATCAACGTACGAGGATGAATTGCTTATGTCGTTCAATATCGACGCATGGTTGGCAATGAAGTAGACCAAATTCGAGAAATATGGTGCAGCTTTCTTGTCCAAGATGAAATCTTGCATCTGGTCATCATTCACTATGATAAAGCACTACGGTTATTCCACGACAAACGATAAATCGTAGTCATAATTTTCAACAACAAAAAATACCTGCAAAAATATTTAATGTGATGGTTCGAACAGCGGCTCTAATCATACTCTCTTCAGAATTAAAAAATTTGATAGCCTCCGAGTATCTAATGGCAACTGAATTTTTAATGAAAAATCCGGCACACAATAAAATTTTTATCTAGAATATTAGTGTGTGTCATACTCACAAAGGAAAATCATCAATATTCTACCAAAAAAAAAAAAAAAAAAGGTCATTAATTCCATTTAGTTTGGTTGATATTTATAGATGAGAATTAAGGATCAGGCTCAAACCTCATTAAAAAAGAAATACAATGTATTTGTGTCAAGCTTAAAGGAGAGTGTCCGTAAAAGATAGATAAAGTAAGCCAAAATTTCTTCGTTAGAAAAATCGAACTTGTGACATATCATTTGGTTTATGTAATTGTTCGATAACAGAAAATCTATTTGTTATTGTTGCGAGAGGAAAATGAGAATCTATACTTTTCGTTAGTTAAACAGAATGCATCCAAGAGGATACTTACATAAGGATGTCAAATCGTGTATATTTTCAAATAGAATGTTCATTGTTTGCAGCAATTGTTTGGTAACATGCGGGCTCTTTGTGTTCTCCAGAATTTTTAGGAATACGTAATGAATGCATTGTTCGAAAAAGTATCTGTGCATAGATGTGTGATCGAATTGATTTGGTTAATTTCGAAGTTAAACGTGCGAGACAATCTACATTCTTCCACTGATGCATACTCAAGTAAAGCCGGTTTGTGTTGATCGCCTAAAGAATTGTATAGGTCGCGTGAGAATTTCAAGAGAGTCCCAATAGAGTTGAGATGTAAGATAAATAATCGCATGCGCGCATTCCGCTCGAAGAAATAAAAAATGACGCGCACCCCAAACAAGAATTTGTGTTATCTCCCTCATCGATTCTATCATGCCGTCGTCATTTCCGCGTCTCGATTGCTCCAAGAGCACTGCACTTAAACGTCTACGCGAAGAGTAAATAATATGATATTAAATAAGATGGTATTTAATCAGTAGAAATATTCTGACATCGGTATAACTTTCGAGTTGAGGAAAAAATTTTTTTTTTTTTTTTTTTTTACAGGGAAACTCAAATCTTTATTAAATTTTAGGTTGAATCATGTAAAGATGGTTAATCAAACCACAGACAATGCTTGTTCTCCCGTCCATCCTTCGATTACCACTCAGACTCTTTTTCTACCCTGGCCTAAAAAACAACTTTGAATACTTACTTCAAATTCTCTATTGAATACTTTTCGATCTTTGGTGGATTCCAAAGATTGTTCCAAAAATCAAGCATTGATTGTGTTTTTTCACGCGGCTTTGAACTAGCTGTAATTGGATGAATAGAAGAATTTAATAAATTGGCGTTCTTTCGAGACCCCAACTCTTCCATTTGGAATGAATTGCTCATTTTAATTTTCAATTACTAAATCCTACACTAATAGTGATAAGCCACAGGCCATCAATAAGAAAAACGAAGGAGGAGCTTCAAATATATATATGTATACTATATACAGTATATATATATATATTTAAATTTCTTTTGCGAGGGATATTAAAAAAGGAAGCCTAAAGAAAAGGTACATTGCATTTGGCGAACGACCGTCTCCATTAATATATACAAATAGAAGAGTAGAAGTACCGGTGTACTGATATGCACGAGAGTGAGTAAAGTTAACAAATATAATCCGACGAAATTCCAGGAGAAGGACAAGATGTTGTGCAGTTGACAAATTATGTTTTGTGCACCAATTTACGAAAGGAGTTGCTTATTTATAATTTCTGGGATGTACATTGAGCAACGCAAAATAGCAAATACATATCGATATGGTATATGTATATTTTATATTGATGAGTCGGTGGTACGTACAATTTTTCGGAGCTGCACTTTAACAACTAATAGACTTTTGTTCTTTTGATGTGCGCACATCCAAAACTGCCACTAAGTAGTAAAATTCTTTTTGTTGCGTTAATTACATGACACAAGCCCACAATTGATGGTATAACAAAGCATATATATATATATATACATAAGCGAGATACCGAATTTGGATTAATACTTACGCGGGGTTTATTAATTTCTTCTATTCCTGGCCTTACTAATACATATGCGTACTAGGGTATCAATCCACTGTAACTGACAAATTTGTCAATTCAGTAAATTCAGAGAGGTGTGGTGCATAGCAACCTTTGTCTAGTACCAAAAGACACCCTCGTTCAGTGTAAGCGCACGAGAAGACTCAGCCGCTTCGTTCAAAGTTGAGCTGACCTTTATTTCAGGCTTATATGTTATCCCATCATGATACTGGGGTATATATAATTGTTGATCGAACAAAAGCCACAACGAAACAAAAGGAAACAAAGGAACCACTTGACTATTACGCATCGGTGTTCGGCACAAGATAAAAACCGGAATTGCGTTTGTAAACATAATTCTCTGAAACTAGACTGCAAAAATAATCATTCATTCGTGGGTTCGAGTATAATCTTATTAAAGAGTTCAATAAGATTTGTTTTATAGACGATACCATAAAAAGGTACATCATATTTACCATTTATGTATGCGTAAGCCTGTTCATTCGCAGAAGCGGTCCTATTGTTACGCATGTACCATATATTCCAGTGTACCATTATTTTTTTAAACTCAAAGCGAACATAAATCGATCAGTAGTACTGAAACATGAATAGTAGTGTATTTTGAAGTGACAAAACGCCATTTTGGACATTGCATTAATATTTGTGTAAATGGAGTAATTATTGCATTACAGTAAAGTACGCATTTCCTCACCTAGGTGGGCGTATATCTTTCACGTGATTGCATACCGATAAGGAGGAATCGTGTGATTTTGTCACGTGTCAATATACCCTTTTATGGAGTTGCGCATATTAAAATAAGAGAAAAGATAGCTACATTATTTATTATTGACTAACTATTTATTCTAAATCAAATTATATATAGTTATATTAAAATTAATAATTTTAACTACGTTTGATCACTGATAATAAAACCTAACTTAATTATGCTATTTTTATAATTTCATTAATAAAATTTTATTCTTTAGTTTTATTATCACTTATTATTATTATTATTATTATTATTTATTTTTATATATATTTTTTCAATATTGCCCATAGACAGGTTAGATTATTTATTTATTAATTAATTGAATACAAAAGTATATATTCACTTAAATAGTATAATATTTATTGAAATTAAATATAATATTAAGTTTAATTAACTTGTTATAAATATAAAGTTTTTATGTTTAATTTTAGGAATAATATTCAACTCTTTCCCAATTACCTGAGATGTAGCAGTCTTGACAACAGAAAAAATGACTTCCAATATCAGAAACTTCAAAGTTTCACAACTTGAACAACAAAAAATAGAAAGAACTCAATACATGGAAAGAAGAAGCAAAGAGACTCTCTCCTTCTATAACTAATCATATACTAAAAAACTCATCAACATGCAGACAAAGCCTCAACACCATCAGCAGTAGAATCAAACCAAGGCAGTGAGCTTGACAAAGCTTCAGAACCATCAGTGATGTCTATTTTCAGTACCATCAATATGGAAATAGAGATAGAATTAATTCACAAGACTCAAATGTGAAGTAAGCAGATGGAAGAAACCATGAGTAGAACAGGAGATCCCTTAACAGACAGTTTCTCCTCAGGCAAAGAATTGACAAGAAGTTCAAACCCTCTCGTAGAGAGAAGTAACCTTTCAGGAACTAAAGATGTAAAGCAACAACAAGAAGACATTACCAGTGAAAGGAAAGAAAACCCCTGGACAATAATAAGTCATAAAAACAATATGGTCTGCCTAGTATCAAACCACGATTAAGAATATCAATTGATCTGGAAATCAGATATGGCAAAGAATGTTTCAAGATTGGTATTAATGCTAACATTACCCCTGGCTCGAATAATAATGCAAAAATCCTCTATATTATAAAAACCCTCAACTCGTTATCAGGTCTCATCATAACCCATAGTAAACAAAGAAAGGAAGAAACCTGAATCATCATAGTTTTTAACAATCAACAAGCAGTAGATAATGCAATGAGAATGAAATTACCAAATCTAGGTGACAATAAGCTCATCCATATACAGATTAGCAAACAATTGATCAAGAAAGGCAAATCCATAGTAGTCTGGGATATCCCCTAAGCACAAAGCTTATCGAGGTCAGACAACATTTTGCCAAATTGGGTAGCATCTCAGTAACCAGCATAATACACAAAACTTATGACAGTATGTCACAATTATCTTTGAGAAAGAGATGGTCAAAGAGGCACTCATTGAAAAGCGCAACATTCTCATTAAAGGAGATGCAATCAGAATCAATGATACTAATTGGCTAACAAATCGAATAAGAGAAGGATATAGTATCACAGTAAAACTGGTCAACTTACCTCCTGGCACTATAGCATAGAATCTGAAGCAAGTCTTAAATAAGATGAAAATATGGACATATTATATCCTACACACCTGCTTAACAAGATACAAACCAAAGAAATTCACAGTAGTGAGCTTCAAAACAAAAAAAGACCTGCTTGCAGCGAAAGACATGATTTTCATACTCGGGAAGACTATGATAACCTTGGTTCCTATCAACACATCTCTCTGCCCCATCTGTGATATGATAACATACCTTGTAAAAGGTTGTTCCATTAAGGTAAGGAGGAAACAATGAAGAGAGTTTAATCATATTCAAATAGAAAAGTATGATCAAATCTATAGCAAATTTAAGCCAGTCAGAACAGGTGGTTTCAGAGCTGAGATGGCATTGAATGATAGGAGCAATAGTAGACCAGCATTATATGTAGCTGCCACACGAGCTAATAGCAATTAGTAAAATAGGGCAAGTAAGGATCAAAATCAACAAAATTGCTTAAAACAATCATAATATCAACAAGGATGTATACAATAACCTCAAAACATACAGAAAATCATGGAAATGCTTATAACGATTCAACAAGAGGTGGCAAGTCTCAAGGAGATAATGGTAGATCTTGAAGAAAGAGTCATGAATCTAGA